GCGCATGTGGGAACTCAAATCGCTGAAAGGCGAACGAGGCACAAAAACATGCCGGCCGATGTTCGGAGTCGACGACAAGAGGGGCACAGCCGCCAATCACGCTGCGATTGATGACGGACCACTTCGGCCTCCACCGCTGTCGGGCTGCGTTATTTCACTATCTAGTAGGTGATAATTCACGATGCTGACCTTGAGCCATTAGAGACGCAAGGAACCTTGCCGCGCATCTCGTCTGGCGCTGAGAGAGCTACTCTAGGCACTGTTTCCGCTACCGATGACGACGTTCACGTGCGAAGAGGTCCGACTCTGCCCCGCATCGTGCATGCCCCACTGCACCGCCTCCCGATCCATCTGCAAAAGTCAGCCAATTTCCAAGCACTCCGATTTGACGTTTCATGAGCATGTTTCCAGGACAGCTAACGTTGCCCTGGCTAACCCACACGTTTACCCAAGCGTTGTAATGTTGAACGTAGGACTTTACAAACGGTGCAAATGTTTGCGAGAGGCGGTCAACTGGGGAAAAAAGGAAACCACCTCGATAGGAGAGCGAATTGCTTCTTTCGATAGGAATCCTTCGATAGAATCAATACTCCTTCTTCAACTTCAAACTTATCAGGGCACGGTAAGCAGCATATGCCGAAGTCATATATTTACTCGGTATCAGGACATTGCCGGCCGGCCCATGTAGGATATGACTTTTAAGTACATTTTTGTTACCACTACTCGAGCAGACAACGCCATGTGAATAGTTTACATGTCCCACAACCCGTCAATCTATACACACATATCCATACATCTACAGATTGTCCGCGGTGAAGATAAGCAAAGCCATCCGATGTCGTACAAACAGCCCTAGAACTCCAACCGCGAACTGGAACGCGAGCAAACCCATGGCTAAGCGGTCTTCCCGCATTGGACCGAACCATACTAACCATAAATTGATTAGTGTAAAGTTGCTCGACGAAACCACCTGCCCCTTCGCATCAATCTCAACATCAAGCATCCGAAGCCGGTGCAGCACCTTGAGGCTCTCCGCTATCGGTCGTCGTAATGGTTTGGTAAATTCGACGCGCGATGGCTCCAGTAGTCCTGTCCGTGCGTTGAAATGCGGAAGCCGATGTCGGGGACATGGTACGATATGGAAGAGCTGGGGTGCCGAGTAGACGAAGTTGAACGCTTGCGGTATGAGTAGCAAGATTAGCGTTTTACTGAAATGGCCGAGGATAGCGACTACGGCGAATACCATGCCCGCAAAATAGCAGTATGTATCTCCCACAAACACCTTTGCTGGATACCAGTTGTGCATCAGTAGAGCCAACGAGACACCAATAAATGGTAGTAGCAAATACAGCGAGAACAGATGGGAGTCTGTTGCCGGATGCGGATACGTCGTGAATGGCGAGAGATAGAGCATGTCGTTGCCAACAATCAGGACTGCGATGACTATAGACTGAGCCACCTCGATACCGTTGATACCCGCCAGGATGTTGATGCTATTTGAGGAGAAGATGGACATGAGCGCCATGTAGACGTAGTACAGCCAGCCTGGACGTATATCAGTACCTCGCTTCGTAATCATGCTCGACATGAATGCATACCTAGATCAAAGAGTTCGCCCAAGTAAGGTCTCAGTGGTACCGGAACAACCATCTGTGTGACACCAAAGTCGACAAAGTAGACGACGAGCATGGGAATGACTGCAAAGGCGGGGATGAGCACCTTGTGTCGCCATCTTATGTCGAACAAATCGTCACCAATTCCAAGCAGTACGATAGACTGAAGGGAGAGAATAGCGGATAGGTAAGATGCAAGCTTGTTGTGGGGAAATCTGTGTAGTAGCCTCCCGGTCTCGATCAGCTCCAATTCCTTTATGATATCCCTATTGCCGCCCCCTGACGTTGCGACTACAATGTCCTTGTAGAAAGGCCATGGTATGAAGAATATCAGGACGAAAAGGTACACCATCGCACACACCGCTCCCATCATCTCAGGGCTGTTTCCGTCAGTCAATTGACAAGCGGATCAGAGTATGTGGCACTTACATCTCAATCTGTTTGAGCTTGCAGAGATCTCGTCCCTTGAAGCCACGCTTCATGAAAGCATTTCCAAGCCATCGTATCAACGCATAGCAGAACGCAAATGCTAGACCACTGAGCGCTATCGACGCAACAAGCGGCTCACCATCACCATGAAGAGTGTTGGTCAGCACTCCAAGGCAGGCGATAGACAAGGAAAGCAGTGAAAATGTCTCTGTTGATGACAGCGCACTCGTCATGGTGACTGTAATTGTGTTGAATGCCGTGGTGACGGCGGATCTTGGCACGTAGACGCCTGTAGTTGTTGACTCCGCCCAGCCGTTTGCTGTCGCGACAATATCAGCGACGGTCGCGCAACTCCCTCACAACAGCATCAACTGAGCTCGCCGCTCTGCCCAATAACAACTTCTTTGTCTGATTCCGGAGCCTGATTTCGCGTAAAGTGTTCGAACCGGACTTGAGACTGACAGAGAAAGCCAGCAGATAGATCCACAAGCTTCAGCAACGAACCAGAAAAGCTCACGACGTGAGCGAGAGACGACAAGAGCAGAACGATCTGCACGAAGTTGTGGTTGCGGTGTTTGGTGAGTAGAGATTCTGGCAAGGTGTTGTTTCGGCTTCTTCCTGCTCTGCTAACCCGAAACGATAGACCCACGAACATTGGCATCAAACATGGCCGCCAACAACAACGCGGGCGCCCTGGCAAAGACCGATCATCTCTTGGACGGTCTGAACGCCGTAAGCACTCACCTTACTTCACCAAACTTCCTTCGACAACTGACTGCGTCCCGTCTGCCGTCGGCTGCGGTGAGCGATTCGTCGTCCTTGAGCCCCACCAAAGACGAAGCACGGTCGCGTGCACGCAAGCCGGACTTCAACATCGCCGTCGCGCTTGAAGATGAGATCGAGAACGCAGACCTGATCGCTCCCCTGATTCAAGAGCCTTGTGCCGACGGTAGCACAGGTAGTATTGAGCAGCGCGTCGTCGACTACCTAGAGGTGAACTTCGTGGACGCGCATCGCGTCTACGCCAAGATGGCTGCAGCGCAGAGCTTCCAGACCTTCTCGCATGGCCACCAGGACCTCGTACTCGCCGTCGACTTCAATTACTTCGGCACGCGCATGGTCACGGCAAGCTCAGACCACCGTGCCAAGGTCTGGGACAAGAAGGACGATTCGTGGACCCTCGTCGAGAGCTGGAAGGCTCACAATGCTGAGATCATCGATGTAAGTCATCTAATCTTCAGCCGCAAATCTCCTTTCGGTCGCCTGCATGCCATTTCGCCACCTTTGTGAACCATCGCTAATCTGATGCTAGATCAAGTGGAACGGCCCGTTCATGGGCGAGGTGGTCGGCAGTATTGGTGAAGATGGCCACTGCAAGATCTGGCAAGAGGATGCTACTGAGGTAGCCATGTCCGGCAATCGCTTCAAGCTGATCTACAACCTGCAGTCGTTGACCAACGCTCCATTCATGTCTTTGGACTTTAAGAACATCATGCAGGAGACTTGGCTCGCGCTTATCACCCGCGACGGCTATCTCACTGTGTATGAGCCTCAAGACCAGAGTAACCTCCATGAGTGGACTATCCTGGCAGAGCGCTGGGTCTCCGAGAACAATCCTCCAGAGCGTCAAGATGAAGTGGGCTTCAAGGTCGTTTTTCACAAGGAAAAGCTGCCCTGCTGGACCGCCATTACCGCTGGCCTCGATCGCAAGTCGCTATCCCTCGCTGTTGCCGCTATGAAGGACGTCCTCATCTTCCGCACTGACAAGGCCAAGCGCTTCTTCCAGGTTGCAAAGCTGGAGGGTACACGCCAGATCATTCGAGACTTGGCTTGGGCTAACGGCTCTATGCGGGGCTACGACATCTTGGCTACAGCTAGCAAAGACGGAGCTATTCGCATCTATGAGCTTCGCACGCAGACCGATGATAAGAACGCTGCGCCTGGAACTGCATCGTCATCGGCTCCGCTGTCAGTATCTCCGCGAGGTCATCGACAGAACGCGCCGTCTGGAATAGGAGCTGGACTGGCCGGAGCTTCGAAGGCTCCCGATGCGTCTCTCGAAAACGAGCAGTATCCTGGTCGCATCAAGCAGAAGGCAGAGATGACAGATGAGCTGACCAACCATCACGGAGCAGTTTGGCGTGTCACATTCTCACAGATGGGTAAGCCAGTCCAACGGAACGTGCATGGCCACAGCTAACAGCTAATATAGGTGATCTTCTCGTTACTACTGGAGACGATGCCAGCATTCGCACCTGGAAGAAGGCCGCTGACGGCCACTGGCAGGAATACGCCCAGATTGAGACCGCCGAAGACTAGCGGGCCAACCCAATTCTAGTATACCCAAGTTCCAGATGCGTTTCCGACACATTGTGGTTCAACGTGAAAGCATGATTATGATATTTACGGCGTTGGTGGTAGATGAATTGGCAATGGTCTTTTGGCAAGCAGGTATCGCAAGCTAAGCGCACTGCACAACGAACGACTCTGGGATCATTTAGGGCGAGTTTTGTACAACTCATTTTCGGTGTTTAGGCATATGAAGAACATCACACGGCACACGACGCAGTGGTGCATTCTGGCTACCGCACTCCGTCAAGTCATCCCACGTTTAGATACCCACGGCTATCCATCACGGAGCTTCAGCCATATCATGGTGGGAACTTTAACTCTCTGTATAGTACAAGTATCAATCGACCAAGTACAATGTGGCATTTTGTGTTATATCGTATTGTCCGATGCCAACCTTCGCTTTGTTGACATAGAAACAGCGCAGGGTAGAACATATAGCCCCGAAGCAGACTGATGACGTATTCTATTACCAGGATTTGCGTATTTCTAGGTGAGATAGATTGTCATGTTGCACCTAGGGGGTGTATATAGAATGATAGGTGAACAGCCACAAGGCGCGGGAACTGAAAGCTGTCCAGATGAGAGGTACTATCGATAAGGCCGTGGTTACCTCCCAACGAGCGCATCCTTCATCTCTGGGTATTCTCTCCATAGGTTGACTAGCGGGAGAAACAGGTTCTTCTGCACCTCTTTTCCTTCTTGTTCAGCCTTTGCTTGCTCTCCAGCCCAAGCCCACATCTGTGTCCAGGGAATCCAACTCCACGCAGCACACTTGTGCGGTTCCATGGGCTACCAAGTTTATCAGCTCTTCATTCTCGACTGCCGATACACTAGGACAAACGAGAGCTTACCATCGGTGTCTTGTTATCGCCAGTGATGGTACAAGTGACGAAGATGGTCACGTAGTGCTTCCCCTCTCCAAACACATCATTTGTAGCAGTCAGGAATTTGATGTTGCCCACCTCAAGCCCTGTCTCTTCCAACACCTCTCTTGCAGCCGTTTCAGCGAATGATTCGCCGTACTCGAGGTGGCCTCCGGGGCACTGGAGAGTACCTGCGCCATGGGAGCCTGCGCGCTCTCCCATGACGATGTTCCCTGCATTATCGTGGATGATGACACCTACACCAATCTTGGGTCGTTCTGCTTCTGTCATGCTGGGTGAATATACTGAACACTTGCTCGCTGACAGATTTTGATTACAAGGTCGAATCGCAGAAGTCGTGAACACCTCTACTGGCTGAGGCTGCATGTGTGAGTCTTCCTTGAGGTCGCTACGCGCTAGCGCCCGATGCGTCCTAGCTGGGGGGGGGGGGGGGGGGGG